GGGTGTGGCCTGCCATTCTTTTCTGAGATAATTGATCTAATACGCTATATAGCAAACAGAGTGAAAAATGTTAAGCGATATAGCAAACAGAGTGAAAAATGTCAAGCGATACACATTTATGTAGGATTCTTATGGGGTAACTTTAGTGTATCGGCGCCCAAACCCATTTGTGTCTATCTTATCGCTTTGCTTTTCTCATATGTATATAGTAGGCGAGAGATGAGAACTTATCAAGCAAAACCCGACTAAAAACCTCTCTTCTCTCTCTTTCCCCTCACATTGCTTCCTTTTGTAAATGTACTTTTTTTTTTCATCGCGTAGGCAAAAATACTTTACTTCACTTTGTTCATCTCGATTCATCACTTGGGGAGGTGGGGGTGGATTGAGTCCGAGATAAGCCTTGGCTCTCGTGGCCAACCCCCCCCTCCAAACCCCCTCTCTTTATACGTTTTCCCTACGGCTGGCTGGTTTTATTGTTCGCGATTACAAAAAAAGATCAGTAAGGTTAATCCCAATGGTAGTTGTAAAAGATTACCCGAGCTATTGTTTCCATGTGGCCGGGATGGTATTTCCTTTTTTTTTTCTTACCTCCATGTCTGGATGATTGGCGCGGATTTAGGTTGTTTGATGCTTTTTCCTCCTCATTTGTGAGGATGATTGCAGGGATTTAGTACTTGCGATAGGGGGCTTTTTGCTTGTTTGGGTGGAGTGAGTGGGTGTGGTTGTAATCTGTGAGAGGAAGGAGTGTGTGTGATCGGTGATGCATGCGATGCGGGTGTCTTGTTTGGGCATGTGGAGTGGGTGCGTGATGGTATTTACAATGCAGGATTGTTGTTTAGGCGGAAGGCGTGGGTGTAACAGTGTTTACGAAGCGTGCGTCTTCTTTTGTGCGGGATTAAATGGGCGCGATAGTATTGTGTGGGAGGATGAGGAGAGGGGAGACTAGCCTTTGCGATTAGAGTTTTGAGTCAGCCATGTAGATACAGAATACTCCGCGTATTTGGTGATTGACGTTGCATGGATGCAAAGATAAAGGCGTCGCTAGTGATGCTTTCGCAAACGCTAGCGGTTTTGGCAAGCGGTTGTTTCCTATGGCGATATCAGGAATATTGTAAGCAGTAGCAGCTGGGTGACGCTTCGGAGCGGATAGTCTCGTATGCTATCTGTCTCGCATTTTTTTTGCTTGTTCTTGTCACGCCTTGTTCCGGTGAGAATAGGCAGAACAAGAGTTTCAGAGGTCGACGCCAGAAAGCTCGGCGGTTGGAGATTGTGTTTCATAGGCGGAGGATCGTCCTGTTTAGAGTTTATCGTCGGCATATTCGGCGGTATGTGGTTTCCATCGTGTTGGTGTTGTACGCGGGTGTTTTGGTGGGGCGGTTCTTTTGTCCGGATATTTTGGTCCATCAATAGGTGCATGCCTGGTTTCGTCCACAGCTGCAGTGACATAGTTTTCCTGCTCGACGTCAGACGCATGGTGAAAACAAGCTAGGCGGGAACGCTGATGTGTAGCAAGTGCCAGTGCCAGCCGCAGTGTAATGAGGGGGCGATCCCGTGCATAGTTCTCCGGGTATTCTAGCTGCTAGAGCAGTGTAAAGTAGTACTTTCAGGGTTTGTCCTGTCTGCTAGGGGGATCCTACTACTATGGGATGTAAATCCTTTCTATGCGATGGCGCTTCTGGTTGAGTTGCTTTTTTTTCTTGGCTTACTTATAGAAGTTGGTTAGGCACGTACATACGCGAATTCACGATATACAGATGCGTGCATTGCGGTTGTAAGCCTCTCGATAATGCCCTACGCCTTACAACTAGACCCCATTGTATACCGCAAAAACCAAGAGTGGCAGGATTGCTGGCACCGAAGAAGACGCATTTTATAGTGCAATCCAGCGGCCCTTTGCACGCATTATTGCAACAGGCTCAGCAGCATAGCGTAGCCATTGTCGGATGGACTGGGTATCAGTGTTGATGGCCTTGGGCATTGGCGGTATTGGGTGTGTCTATTCAAACAGGGCTTGCCCTCAAGATGTTGTGTTTGGCGAATGTATGTAGTATGTAAGAATACAAGTCGGTGGCCTGTGTCAGCGCTAACCAATGTCTGGGGGCAGCAGTGACATGTTGCACTGTCGTGGGGCGAGATGTTATCAACTCGCAAGATAGCGTGTAAGCAGCATATGGAACAGCGTACGGAGCGTACGGAGTGCGGTGAGAGGCCCTAGGTGCTTATGTACGGCGTCAGACGGTGCCGTACCAGTTGTGGCAGTATACACGTAGTAGGGAGGAGTGTGCTCGAGTCATTGAACCACTACTGGTGGTGGCTTGGTCCAACGGGTACGGCATTGGGATATCCGGGACAAATGTACATGGGGGCTACGGAACCGCGAATCGCGTCTGGAAGCTGCTCAACATTCGGCCGGGAGCGTGGTAGTAATAAGGCTGGTGGGGGCGTGGCAGTAATAGGGCTGATGGGGGCGTGGTCGTGTCGCGGATGCACAGTGATGCAAGGCGTCTGTGTGTCCCGGGACGAGCGACATCCGCTTCCGTTGTGCGCTGCCAGCCTACGCTAGCACTATACTGTACCCGGAACCACCACGCAAGTCGACCCGGAAACAGCCCTCTCTGCACCAACCTAGACATATTCCCTCCATGAATCGCTTCCCACCCCACCTGCTATCGCTGCCACATTTCGTCCGTCATCAATGCTTGTGCTTGTGCTTGCGTGACGCTGGCACCCCGACTCCGGCTTGGAACTGCCAAAGACAACGGCCCTGTAAAGGTGACTGAATGAGTGAACGAATGAATACCCATTGCCCAAGCGAAAAGACGGACAATGCCAAGTCGACAAGCACCTCTACCGTCTTCTTTTTCTCACCAAGCGACCTCTCGGGCGTCCAGCGCATGTGGCGCCACCAGCTTCCTTAACGAACACGGCGTATACGGTGTAGCGAGGGGGCTTTGTTTTTGCTCCCTTGAAGTGTGGCAAAGGCTTGGCCATGGCATAGCAACCACTAGCCGGACAAATTGTAGCGGAAAGTGGCCTCTGGCAGAGATCCGTATCGTCAACATACATGCTAGTTCCGTAGTATACGTATGTTTATACGGAGGTGCCTTTCAAAAGTATTGTCTGCCAAGAATAATCTAGCCGATGTACGGCCGCCTTAGCCGAGGCTT